CCCCAAAACCCCAAAACCCCAAAACCCCACTCATATGAATTTCACAGAATTCAGAATATAAATAGTTAATTTATAAAAAGCATGCCTAAAAAATATTATATTAATATTCAATCTTCTTCTTCTGACTCATGGGAACTATTGTTATCTTACATATTTTGATAATCATTGTAGGTGTCTGCAGTGGGTGGCGGTATATCCCCGTAATTTGCCTCAAATTAGTCGTCGTTACCTGGGGCGTAAATAACTTCGAACTTGTCAGAATCTTGATCTCTCTCATCATCATTAATATATGACTCAATGTAGTTAGAATTAATCTCAGCAGTTTGAATACCCTAAATTTTTGATTGGTTTGATAAAGATGACCCCATGTTATTTTCTGCTGTTTAAGTAATGAGTGGAGGCTTACTCGTCAGCTTTTACATTATTTCGGGATCACTTATTGTTCTTTGAATTTATTCGAAGTTTAGGGAATTTGGCTTTATATCTTTCCTTATGTAATAAAGAACATAAGCCGCTTGAGAAACAACATCAGTAGGAGAATCAACCTCAGAGACACTAGAGTCGTTGAAATCATACCACTTACCATTCAAATAATTCTTACAATAAGCAGTATAATGGCCAAAATTAATGCTTCCATAGTGATTTGATACTGCATATAGGTCATACAGAAGGCTCAATTCCTTCTTTTATTCTTTAGAGACTACAAATTAAGTCATATCGAGATCGTCGATTGGGAAAACTATTCTATCTTCTAGTTTATTATCATAACTGTAAGACTTATTTTTAAATCTTTAGAGACACAGAATTAGGAGAGGAGGTACAGTGTAAATTTCAATCTTCTTAGTTGCTTCTACATGATCCTAGCATTTATTGCAATACCAGGAGTTTTACTTTTCTAATTTTTCAACATGTCTGAAGTAGTCTAAACAATCAGAAAGTTATTAACTGGAGCTGCCCTTTTTGGACTTATAACCATAGCTGTCTGATTGTTTTTCTCTTGGGTGTTTATCAAAGGTCAATAGTCTGGATGCTATACTGTTAGTCTGCTCTCTGAGAATTCTATTCACAAAGACTAGCTCTAATAAAAAGGTCTTTTGTCTACCTCTATTTTCCTATTTTAGTTTCTTTTTTTAAGCTTCCTCATTGTAAATGCTTTCATCATCATCAGAGTCATCTTATAAATTATTCTTGAACTTGCTCTTATTTGAATAGATATTATTGTTATAGCTATTATAGCCACCATTATTATCATCATCTGAGTCATTTTGCTCCTTAAATTCATCTTAATTAATGAACAAATTTTAATTGTCAAAGAATTTCTCCTTATGTACCATTTGATCTAAAAGATCTCTGAAGGTCTTCTGGCTACTAATTGGCATTGGGCAATTTTTGCAATTGCTCTAACAGTTTCTGCATGGAGGTGCATAGTACCTCTGATTTTGATTCACTATATTTATTGTAAAAGGGTATTCAGTGATATCCTAACTCAAATCATCTTAAGAGACGTCCTCATTGTTTTAAAGCTGATTGAGTAGTTTTTCATAATGCTTTACATAGTATTCGTTGGGATCATGCACTTCTGGTTCATTTACGAAATCCTAAGCAAATGAGTAGTTTTGAACTATCTTTCTCTAAACATCTGCCAATGGCTAGTTTTTATTAAACCAGAATAATCTAGGAATGGCTTGCTTGTTATCAAACTTGATGGAACTGTTATTATAGCTATAATAATTCCCACTATTTTATCTTTGGAATCTTATTACTGGCATAACTGGCACAAATATCCAATCTGGATTAATAAGATTCTCTAGAGGAATCGAGTCTAACTTTAAGATAGTTGGTTCCTCTTAAGTTTTCATTGGTTCATCACCCTTATACTCCTCATCGCCATCAAATTCGAAATCTTGATCTAGTACTTTTTAATTAAAAGGTAATGTCAATGCATCTTTAATTTGTTGGTCAGTTACTTTTGGAAGAACTTTGGTGTTCAAAGCTGCTTTATCAATCTGGTAAGCGAATATGAAGTTCGAGCCAAAGTTAATATTAAGGGAACCACTTTATTCGCTGTCCTTAAATAGTTAAGTGATCGCAAAATCTGATTTGCTAACCTGAGCTAAAATGAATTCATAAGGGCTGATGTATTCTTGATAATACTCTGATGCTTGCTTTGCAATGATTTGCTTTGCATCTAGGACTGAATAAGACATTCTTATGAATACATCAAATCTATATATCTTTTTGCTTACTCTATCAGGCAGGAAGTAATAGCTTAATTAAAAGTTCAGTGGGATTGGAAGTGGAATGCTCATATATGGGTCAAAAGTGATTGACACTCTTTTGCACTATGGGCATTGCAATGTAGACTTGTATTATCCCTAAAAGAGATCTACGATGATAGACATGTTTCTTTGCAAATGTCCTTCCCAATGTTCAGTTGCAACAACTGCATCAGATCTGTTATCAGAGTCCTTTAGTTCTACATAAGGCTTCTTTTATACTCTATTTAAATCCTCATGCAGAGTATCAAGCAAGAAGTTTAAAAATTCTTATGAATCATGCTATTAATAGCCACTGAACATAGGATTTTGTTTTCCAATATGTCTTTTTAACATATTTGGAGAGAATGTATCGTTTTCTCTGTTCCATAACTCATTAAGCAACTTAGCAAAATGAAAAGCTACCTGGCCTTTAGTACCTAGAGGGTTATCTTCATTTACTTGACTGGCAAAGTGCTTGTCTAGGAAGAATCTGGTAAGAGGCCAACTGTTACTTAGGCATTGTAAAGCTGAGTTCATAAAGCAAGTGTTTCCTAGATTTTAAAGGCCGACAACTCCATTTCTAGCATTAGGCATAGGTTTTAAATCTAGCTTATCAAAATCTATCTGAGACTCGGCATCACAATTTGGAAGATGATACTTTTCGTCATTTGATCTGCACTTTTCATCACAATAACTGACTTTTTTACAAGGACAAACTACCTTAAGCATTCTAGTTTGGTAACAGTTTTCACATTTACCAAATGAACCAGGATTTTTGTTGTATCTGAACATATATTTATTATTTTGATTAGGAACTTCAACAATAATCAGGTCATAATTAGAGTTGATTGAATTATTAGACTTATCAAGTTCCGAGTAAGTTTTGTTCAGAAAAGAGTCAAACTACTGACCGGGAAACTCAACACCTGTGTTTTCCTCAATGTCTTGGTCCATGACAATCTCTTTTTGCTATTCTGTGAATTTATCAATCCCACTCTAACCTTCTAAGTTGTATTATTTTACGAAATCAATCCATCTATCAATTCTGCTATAGTAGGGATTAGCCCTCCATATTCTGATATTTTCGACTGGGCTTTAACCAACTTATTCCCTTCTTAGGTTTATGCATCTCAGTATCTTTTCCTTTAGCCTTTCAAATCTATCACTAGGGACAATGAATACTAACTCAGTGGAAGGAAAGTTCTCTGAGTCAATCTATCCTAATGGAGGAAGTATCAAAATTCTGATCTATAGGAAGATTAAAATGAGTTATGAGATTCTCACTGAAATTAGCTTACATCTGGAAACTTGACGATAAATTTTCTGTTGTAAAAGTCTGTATCCTTGAATCTCTTTAATTCTAATCCTCTGAATCTATTCTATAGTATTTCCCAACATTTTTTGGGAAGCAGTTTATAATCAAATCTTTCACTGAGCCTGTACTTGATAGTAAAGTTAGCTGGATCTGTCAAATCATCATCTCTAAGATATTTGCTGAAATCTTTCAGTAATTCCTCGTTATTTATTCTGCCAGGGTAGTCCCTCTTCAAATTTTCATAGTTATGATTCACATGATAATGCTTCTTCACCTACTTAAAGCACACAAATGATTTCCATTGCTTAAACCATTTTTTGTTAATGACATAGACCTATAATACAGGTATAACCAAATTGAAAAATACATCATCATCTAATGCTGAAAAATACTAGTTCTTGTACGATTTATACTCAGATACGAATTCCTTTGTTTCTTAATTCAATTGCTCAACATAGCTTTCAAACTGTTCAGGGTCTATTGAGAATTCTTGAATGCTTGTAGAATCTTATTACTGCTCGTTTGAACTGAATTTGACCTCTTCGAATTCAATGTCATTGCTTGAGGTGGTTTCCATCTTATTTAAATTTGTTATTATCTAAATTTTAAAGTATAATTTTATCTTCACTTATTTATATATAATTTCCGACTAATGGGGTTTTGGGGTTTTGGGGTTTTGGGG